CGCCTGCCTGCTTCCCTGAGCCTAGCGCAACACAGCAGCACGCGAACGCGCAGCGTGCCGGCATTTCCCGCGATGGCCAAGATCCCTGCCCACTCGCCCTGCTTGCCTATATGCCAGTGTTGCGTGTGGGCGGCCTCCCTTGAGCCTGTGCCTAGGCCCCAGTACCTGTACCCAGGCCCGTTGCAGTTGGGGGGGGCCAAGAGATGCAGTTGCGCCTCTTTCATCAAGGCCTGCGACCAGATTTAGATAGTGGACCGGTTTCCCATTGGCATTTTCGGCCTCTATATCCAGCATGCATTGTTGGCCTCACGTTTATGTGCCCAGGGCCTAACCAACTCGGGGCCCTGGGATTTCTGCATTTGCAGAGCTCCGATACTCCGTGCACACCAACCAACTGGCATGCTGCAGCTGTATGGACCCCACTTCGTGAAATGTTTGCACAGAGGGCTCTTGTTGATTTGCTGGCCCGCCTTCACTTAGGGCGGGCACGAGGCTTGCTGGGGCCTTAGCCCAGAACATGTACATCATGGCAAGGCCCCTTCTTGAGGGCTCAATGCTCACACTTGCTGCAGTCCTTCGGGACATCCGTTAAAAAATGGAACAATACAGAGAAGATTAGCATGGCCCCTGCGCAAGAATGACACACATAAATCGAGAAATGGTCCAAATTTAATAAAAAAAATAAAATAAAATAAATCCTTGCTGCACAGGGGTGTGCGTGATTGGCTGTCCTCGTGGTGTGGTGTGCGTTGGGTGTGTGGTGTTGAGTTCAAGGACGCTGCAGCCCTGGAGGTGGGCTCGATATCACGACCGGTATGGATCCAGTTCTTATAACACCTCCAAGGGTTGTAGTGGTTACGATACTTTGTTCTTGTGGCGGAGGGTGCCGATTCGAGGCCGTCCATGCACGGCAGGGCATGATGCCCTAAACACACGTTGTTCAGAACTACAGGGAAGCGCCGGCGTGTTTCTAGCATAGAAACACTATTGGCACTGTGCAACCGTTTGAACGCCGTGAACGCGCATTCACGTTCAAACGTGCGCATTTAAACCCCCCGGACTCGCGTTCAATCGCGTTCAAACACGTTGCGCACGCGCGCACGAAAAAATTGAACGCGAGCCCACGGGGGCCGCGCGCGCGTCGAGGGCTACGGGGTGGTGGTCCGCGTTCGACGAACCCCCAAAGTGCCAAAAACACCCCCCGGGTCACCCCACCCAACGGAGGGCCACCCCCCCCAAACGCGTCACCCCCCCGCCATTGCCCGCCAGCACCACCCTCCGCCCGTACCTCTACGCCACCCGAGCACGTTTTTTTTTTTTTTTTCCCGCCCACACTTACAACCCCCCAAACCACACCACCCATTTACACACACACATACACACACACATACACACACACATTCACAAACACACACACACACACACACACACACACACACACACATTCACGCATGCACTTGCACACACAAATTCACACCCTCGCACACACACGGGCACTTTTTTATTTTTATTTTTATTTTTTCCGCCAACACTTACAACCCCCCAAACTGCGCCACCCATTTACACACACAAATACACACACACATTCACACAGACACACACACACTGCGACGTTTGTTTTAATTTTTTTTCCCAAAATATCTGTTTTTTTTTTTTTAATATCGCAAAACAAGCGGCTTGAGAAATTAAAAAAAGGGTTGTAGGCAAAACAAAAAAAGGGGGGGGGGGGGGGGGGGGGGGGGGGGGTGTGGTTGGGGGCAACGGGAGGGTTTGGGTTTTGAGGGGCCTGGAAGCACTTTGGGGGTTTGGGTTTCGTGCGTGTTCAAATCACGCCAAACCCAAACCCCCCAAGTCCACCCACGCCCCCGAAGCAAGGTTTTTGTGGTGCTCATATAGTGGCCAGTGAGATTTCAGAGACATCAGGGGCAGACTCAATGCACATAAACCACTCGTCGTTTGAAAACAGGAACATTGCAAACGCCAAGATATAATCGAAGCAAAACGCAAACCAATATAGCATGGATAATAGCAAAAATCTCACACGTCGTGTCGAAGGCCCGCCAGTCTATGGAAAGAATTACCAACCCAAAAATGCCGACGAAAAAGTAGCATACACTAAAAAGATACAATCTTCGAAGTACCGAACTGCGCAGAAAAGTACGACTGAAAAGTAGACTATAATAAAACATCACGAAACACTACGTCTGTCATGCATAACAAAAAATTGAACTACACTGAGAAAGTCAAGAAAACGCCAGTCCGTACTCTATCAACAATTGTCGTGTGCACGCGGATCTCGCTCGGACCGATGAGAACCTCGTCCGTGGGACCGACCACTGCCACGTCCTCGATCTCTCTGATGCTGCCCCCCGCGTCTGGCAGTGGAAGGCTCGGGAGCCACGTGATGCTCGTCGGGGTCGTCGTCCATAATGACTCTCCTGTCTCTCACCGTCCTGGTGCCTGCGGCTGCTAGGTCATCACGTCGGCGTGACTCGCGTGCCATAGATAGACCGTTTGTCTATGAAGTCTCCCCCTCCTGGCAACGATCTAAGGGCACGTGTCGGGCCTGCCTCGGTCGTGTAACAACGTTAGGCATCTCTCAAACTGTACGTCAAGGGCGGATCCACTGCGCTCGCCGCGGCACCGCCTGCGCCCTCACGTCTGCCATCGCCGTGGCCAACGCTGCCACCGCCACCACCGCCTCTACCGCCAAACCCTGAAGCTACAACATCCCGACGTCTCACGCTCGTGGAAACCCCTCTCAAACCTGGCTGACGACCGGCACTCGCCGTCGTCACCCGTCTCGTCTCACTCCATGGCCGATCAGTGCGACCGAACAACATGGTGTCCAGCAAGGCCCACACACGCTCGGTAGTGTCTCTCCGTCTACGGGCAGCCGACCTTGGGGTGAGACTGCCGCCCTCCCTCAGAGCTACGGTCGTGGGTGACGAAGGGCCTGCAGCCCCGCCAGATGGCGCTGCGACGGAACCTCCAGAAGGTTAGCCCCCTGCAGCACCGCCAGATGGCGCTGTGACGGAACCTCCAGAAGGTAATCCCCCTGCAGCCCGCCAGATGGCGCTGCGACGGAACCTCCAGAAGGTAAGCTGGGGCTGGCTGACCCCCAAGACAAGTCCTGCATGTGAGGCAGCTTCCCCTCCTTTGGGACAAACCTGAAAATACACTGGTCGATCTCCGTCAAATTCGTCCTGCCGTGCTCCTCCAACTCCTCAGCGGTCATAAGACCAAAAGGGAGGCTGCCCCGAGGAGTAGCCACATACCTAATCTCCGGCCTCGCCCGTGACGGTGCAAAAGTAGGGATTGGAGGTATGCACGCGCCCCTGCCTACATGTCGCTCCTCGACCGGGCCACCGCCATGTGCACGACGCCTATGGTCCTCCAAAAACGGTGCCTTATGTGGCCCCACTGGCCCCACAGCAGTGCGAACCACCAAAGTCGGTGGCATCTCCTGTCCAACTGCGTCACGCCTGTCGACCTGTGCGGGATCTCCCCCCCCAGACGTGAACATCGGGTCGGCCTAAACAGGCACCCCCACCCCGCCAACATCAACGGCNCCATAACGAAATGAGCGCAAAAGGCTAGAGCGCTCCGCCCCTCGCTTCGTCCACACCACCATGTTTTTGTCTTTTGTGCTTTTTTTTTTTTTTTTTTCCATAAGTTTTTCCCTTTTTGCAACTAGAGATCCGCACGGGATGGGCTGAAGACAGGCGTCTTTCATTGTGGAAGGTCCGTGGTTGGAGATGGGACTGACCGGAAGTGCCTCTCCCAGCCTGGTTTGGCTACGGCATTCATGTGAGGGTGGCCGGGCCCGTTTCCCCGTTTTATAATGGAACTTCGCTACTCTAAAAAAAAAAAAAAACAAAAAAAAAAACAAGTACGAATAAAATCATCTATCAGCCACACACAAAAAAAAGAAGGTGCTCTCCAGCAGCCTCCACAATTTTATTTTTTTTGTCCCTCTAACTCTGACTGTTTCTAGTCAAATGGAACGACGGGATTCGTTTTGTTATTAAAAAAAAAAAAAAAAAAAAAAAAACAAAGGGATAATTAAAAAAAAAAAAAAAAAAAAAAAAAGAAAAAAAAAAAAAAAAAAAAAAAAAAAAAAAAAAAAAAAAGAGAAAAGAAAAAAGAGCGATGACCTGTGCTCGTCCCAACCTTGAGCTTGAGCGGGTCTGGCGCATGAACATCATGCTCCATTCCGAACCGGACAGCGTCTGGACTTACATCTGCGTGTATCCGGTCGTCATGGAAGTCAGGTACAGTCGGGATATCACTATAAGTGCAAACTGTGCACACATTGCACGCCTCATGGCTTGTCTTCTGTGTCTGGACCTCCGAGTCGGACAGCGTCTGGACCTACATCTGCCTGTATCCGGTCGTCATGGAGGTCTGGTACGGTCGGGATAGCACTATATAAATGCAAACTGTGCGACACACAATGCACGCCTCATGGCTCTCGTCTTCTCTGTCTTGACATCGGGGTCCAACACCGTCTGCACTTCATCCTGCCCTGTATCCGGTCGTTATTGAACTCAGGTACAGTCGGGATACCACTATGAGATACAGTCGGGATAGCACTATGAGTGCAACACAGATTGCACGCCTCATGGCTCGTCTTCTTTGTCTTGACTTCTGAGTCGGACAGCGTCTGCTATTCATCCTGCCCTGTATCCGGTCGTTATTGAACTCAGATACAGTCGGGATAGCACTATGAGTTAGTGCAACAAACTGAACACAGATTGCACGCCTCATGGCTCGTCTTCTCTGTCCTTTCTCAGGCCTTCACGTGGGACACGCTCAACTTTTTTTCGAACGCTCATTCTTGCCCGACTATTCCTCCTGTCTCTTATACACATCTAGATGTGTATAAGAGACAGGGCGAATATCATCAATGCTTATAGACTGCCCCGTCTGTATGTCCTCCAGACCCAGGGACATCTGCACGACACCCTCAACTAAACCCGTGGCCAGAGGCACGCCCGTGATCTCATGCAACGTCTCCTCGGGCCTCAGCTGGACGGCAGGAGGCTGCACCGGCTCGGAATGTGGCTCCTCTGCCGGTGCCAACCCGCTCTCGTGCGTCCCCTGCCGAACATCCACTCCCATATCGAAGCCTTGGTTAAAGCCACCTCCCGTTGCGTCGTATCGTGAACCTCTGCCGGAGGATCCGTGTGGGCACCTGGCGCTACGTCAAGGGACGCCGGCGTAAATGTCCCCAGTTGTCTCTGTCGCTCCTCCGCCGCAACACGGACGAACTCCTGCGTCCTGGGGTCCCTTTGTGCCATGAGGCCAGCTCGACGACTATCAAGCCTATCCCGCCTCTCTGCAGATGTCTCTCTAGGGGGTGTCCGGTCCTCATCCCCCTCTGCCCCCGACATCACCTCTACGCGCATGGCAGGGGAGAAACTGTTCAGGTCCAGAAAGCTGATTTGTCCCAATAAGGCCTGCATACCCACACTGATGTCCCCACGGGACTCGCTCTCTCCCCGGGGAAGACCCACGCTCTCTCTCGGGGGCATACCCAGGTCACCAAACTCGCTGAAATCGCCTCCGCCACCCGTCGGTATCCCCTCATCCCCGCCACTCCGAATCTCATGCGCCTCAACCGCCGCAGCAACCTCGGCACCGCCTCCACCTCCGGCCAACGCACCACCATCTCCACCAGCCAACCCCTGTGTATCTCCCTCGTTCCCCTGGACCGGTGAAGGGCCGCCCACTAATCTATCCTCCAATCGCTGTCTCGGGCTCCTCACCAATCTGTGCAATCGACCATCGCGGGCTGGGTGTCGATGAAGTTGCTCCGTCGAAGTGGGATGAGCGGTGGATAATGCCATGCCACTACGATCATGCGCAGGACGATGGCCAGGGGCGCCCCCACCAATCCCCGACTCTACCCCCCTCGAAGGTACAAACCCAGGATCTCTTTCCCGCTCAGCGGACCGCGGGGCAGTGGACGTAGGCCTCTGACGCTCTTGAGGGCTCCCATGACGACCCCCTGACTCCGCCTCCAAATCAAGTCCAACGAAAAGGTCATCTCCGCCACTCCGTCTACGGACGTCCTCTGGGTCGCTCCACTCATCACGCTCATCTGCCGCACGAGTGGCAGTAGCGGGGCCCGCCCGCTCGTCCTCGTCTTCATGACCCTCGGAATCACTGTCGTCTCGAGGGTACGGGTGCAATGTGGTGGCTCGAGTCCCAAAAACATCGCCCACATCACCCGGAGGAGCTCTGGACCCACATGGGTCTCGCTGCCAAGAACGTCTCTGATCCACGAGCTCCTCCCGCGTCCTGCTCTCGTCCGTCCCCTTCCATGAGGGGCGAGTCCCGCTACCTCCCTCCACGTCCAACAAAGACTCATCTAGAGTCCACGGTAGTGCGAACCCGCGGCCTGCCCGCTGATGAGAGAGAAGACGGACGTTGGCTGAGATCTCAACCAACTTCGCGACCTTCACATACAGAGGGGGACGATTGCGTGGGGGGGGAGGGACGGAGAGAGAGAGGCACAAAGGTGCACGAGCGATGCGGAGACGTACGAGTCCGGTTGTTGGTGATCGAAGTGGGGGCAGTGCGCCCCGCAGCTGCAGGCTATCGCTCTTCGTGTGATGTACATGTGGACGTGCTCCTCTCCTGCAGAGAGGAATTGGGCCGTCCACAAGGGTGTACAGACGAAGAAGCGTAACCGGCTTGAGAAGTCGTGCAACTGCGCACATGCGGTCCCGTACTCGGGGCTCGCTACACTGAACCCTGTCTGCGACAAGATGTAATCATGTAAGTCTCCGCCTCCCTCACTAAGCTCGCGTTGTAGTCGCTGACTACGCCCTCGAAGTACCGCAAGTCCCGCCGGCTGGGACAGAGAAGGTGAGCAGCGGCGTGCGCCGGCTCCAACATGTGAGCGCATCGAGCATGCACCCTCTGCACAATGTAGTGTGCAAGATCGACCGGAAGTGCACAAACCTCCTCTGCTACCTGGAGGGCCACATCCTGTGTCCACTCAACCACCCGCGACATGTGCAGCCCTCCACGGTCCAACCTGCGCAGCAGGTTGTACACAGGCTCCATGATGCCCATGGAATCCCACCAAGTGCCATGTCGCACCTGCCACCTGACCCACCTAGCCAACTGACGAACGGAATGGTCCCAAGGGACCATACCCCAAGTATCACCGTCCACTGTCCTCTCCAATGTTGACCTCACTGCCAGCAAACGCTCAATCATCGCGAACACGGATGCGAAACGTGTCTCGCACGGATAAATTAGGCCCATCTGCCTGCTCACCCCCCGGAAGATATGGAGAGCGGCGTCATGCTCCTTAATGAAGCGCACCACCGCTCTCCCCCTCACGATGATGTCCTTGGACCACGTGCCCGAACAGCCAATGTCTTACAACATCTTGTAGCAGACATGCACTTCGCATGGGAGCCACGTGATCCGTCGACGCTCTGGCCTTTGCTCAGGCCCCTGGAGCATGTTTGCCGCGGTGATGTACGCCGAGGCAGAGTCGGTGCAGATGGCGTTCACCCACTTAGGGGGGAAGTCATCAAACACCTTGATCCAGCTCGTCAACACATCAGGCGCCCGATCCCGCTCAACCTCCCTGTTCATTGTTCGGACGAGCATCACCCCACACGACCCGCCGACAAGGAAGTTAACGATGTGTGTAGCATCGCGTGACTTCCTTCCGTCTGACATAATGGTGGTCCCCGTGACATAGAAAGGAGCCCTGACCACCGCGAGATCAGCTCCCACATCGTCCGCCGTGTGGACAATGGTCTCTATGTCCGCAATCTCGTTCTCTGAAGGCCACAAAACCTTCACTAGCCCTGGCAATTCCCTGAAGTGCCGGACGACGTCCAACCACGGCTCGCTCCGGAAGACGTTGAACGCCAAGCGCTGACTGTACACAAACCTCAGCCACCTCTTCTTGAACTCCATCTTCCACTTTGAAGAGAATGACTCCGTGATGGTGTTCTGCCTCAGCCTCTTCTGTGCTGCCGTCGGCCTCGCCCCCTCCTCTCTCTCCTTTCTCTTCCCCGTAGACGGACCCACCTCATCCGTATCCACACCTGCTCGTGCACGAGCCGACACGTGCGCCGATGCAAAGTACTGGACCTGCTGCCCCCCCGGCTCGCTGGCAACACCCTTCCCTCGATCCCTCCCTGACGACCCTGCCCTCGCAACCTCCTCGACGTCGTCGTCCACGTCGATCCGCTCCTCGGCTTCCCTCATCGCTCCCTCCCCCCCCTCGTCCCGTCGCGAATCCATCGCAGGCGCCGGACCGTGAAGCTCCTCAAACCGCTGGATCCGCTCTAGGAGCTTGTCGGACATCTTGTAGTCACTGTTGTAGTGAATGTCGACAAGTGCCTCGTCGGTCACTGCCGGACATCCCTTGCCCTGCCGAAAATGGCGCCCCGCCACGAACTGGTTGCCTTGGAACTTGTGGCCGCAAAAAACGCACTTCAACATGTGATTGTCGCGGAATCTCTCGTCGAGACTCTGTCCCACGCGGATGTACTTGTACACGCAGCATTTCTTCTGCGCCTTGCGGTTCTCATCCTCCCCCGCATCCTCAAACACCCGAGCCTGACCTCGCGACATCGTGCCCGTTCGCCGATGGGTTCACCGAAGTGGACTGCCGCCAGCCTGTCCCACGAAGCCCCAACTCCCGCTGACCTCCCTCCCCGCACAAGGCTCCGTCGGCCCACCGCTGAGCGGCCCCTGTCGGGCTGGCGACCCACCCCCCCGGTCCTCGAAACCCCCACAGTGCGGAAGACGCAGCGCGGACCCCAAACAGGAGCGAGGAACAGCGCGCGTTCAAGGAATTGAACGCGCGTTCAATGAACGCGAATGCGCGTTCAAAAAATTGAACGTGCGTTCAATTTTTAGTGCTGCTGCGCGCCGTTGCCTTCTCCTGCGCCGCTCCGTCTCGTCGCCATCGTCGTCGACTGCCAGGTCACCCGCGGTCCCGCGCAGCTCCACGCCGTTGCCATCCCCGCGCAGCTCCACGTGGTCGCCTTCGGCCTCTCTCTCTCTCTCTCTCGCGCGCGCGCGCGCACGCAGAATGCCACCTCTCTCTCTCTCTCTCTCTCTCTCTCTCTCTCTCTCTCTCTCTCTC